CTGAGGAGCTGGTACTAAGGATGGCTGTGCATATACAAGGGCCTGGAAAGCAAGTGACTGTTCAGGAGTTCTGTGCTCTTAAGTGACACTAAATAGGCTGAAAGCTAATAGTAGTTGTCATCTGAAGTAACGCTTTCCAGTGCTGGACATTGTGCTTGTTGATCAGTTTTTCTTCTTTCCTCAGTTTGCAATGAATCCGTTTTATGAACTCAATTCTCCTATTCGATCCAGTGCCTTTGAACGGAAAGTACAGTTCCTTGGGAAGAAACACCTTTTAAGCTGAATAACTAACTTTCCTGAGTGAGTGCTTTTTCCATACTTTCCTGATTATTTGAACTGTAGTTCTTCTAATTAGTTCTCAGCATGTTTGATACTCATCTTTCTGAAGATTGACAAATTAGATGCTGGAGAAGGTTTTTTTTTTCCCGATATGGATAAGAACAGCCAAGCTTCTCTGGTTGAAATGTGTATCTCAAGAAATTTCCTATTATGTGTTACGAAAACTTAAGTTTAAAAATGTCAGGGTCTGAATAGGTACACACTGAGACCTGTGGGCGTCAATGCATATGCAAAATGTAAGCCTCTTATACAGGGTGGGAGGAAATCAGATCTAAACACAAAAGACATCTCCAGTCATGTGATTTAATATGAGTAAAAGGGATTTCTTGACTGTTTGGCCTAAGTGGTTAATTTTCTTATAAACCTTTCTACTTCCAGTCCTTTGCTAGAGAACTTACTCTGCAGACTAACTAGACTAACTTTACTCTTTGTGGTATTAAATCAGGTCTATATTAATATTGCAATGTGTAATGTATGTATTATAAAGTGCTAAATAAAAAGAAAAGAGGATACATCAAGCAAAGCTTTCTCTTCAGTATTTCAGGAAGTTTTGAGAAAAAACTTACAAGTTTTACATCTTAAAATTGTAAATTTACCAGATGTTTAGTGCAATACATGTTTAGCTGCAGCATTGCATCAATGAAATGAATTAATAAAGTAGACCAGAACAGCTATGTCTGCCCTGACTTTAATTCTAATTAACACATGGAAAAAATGTAACTACATGTACATGTTTAAACCCACTTCTTTCCATTATCTCTGCAGGTGCTGAAATTTTCTTTTTGAAAATATATTTAGACTAAGATCTTTGAACCATGAAACTGTATTTGTTGAGGTTTCAGAAAGGCATTTGGCCTGTCTGGCTACTATTCCATTGTAAAATGTGGTTAGGGACCCTTTTGCAAAACTCACCATCATTCCGGAACAGTAATTTTTAAAGGGGTCATTTGGCACGTATGTAGCTAATATTTTGGTTGGCTTCACAGTCTTTTAAGTAGTCTGTTTCCTTTTGCAGCAAATCTGAATATGCTGTTGTCTTGGACATTTTTTTTTTTAAATGTCTGAAAAGTAATTTCCAAAGGAAGTGGCATGCTGTTCTAGGAAGTACATTTTGCATAGTCTGTATAATTAAAGGGACCACATGTATATATGCTTTAAATGTATAGTCAGTCATTATTTCCTTGTAATTTACACTTACTGCTAAACTGTCACTGTAAAATACTCCATGAGAAAAAGGTTGCAATATTTACCTTAAATAAAACATGGAACAATGCAGTATGGATGCCTGTTGAGTATACTTGAAATGATTTAGAAGAAAACTAGATGATAACGGTAAGGCTACCTTTATTGGCAGGGTAGCACGTGAATATGGGAACACTTGTCTTTGCAGTAGTATTTCATAAAAACTGCATTGTACAGCATTTTGATAATGTCATGTAATCTTATGTAAATCGACTGAGGTTTGGGGTTTTGGGGGTTTTTTTTTGCTTTACACGTGAAAGCAACAGAAACAAACTTGAGGTAAAGCATTCTTATTCATATAAGGAGCCATTAAGCTGGAGCTGTTTTCTGCTTCTCCGGTAGCACGATGGTTGGAAAAGTACTTAAATAATCATATACATGGCAGTAAGAAAAATTTTGGCAAAGATAAAGGATTAGTGCCACAAGTTTCCACCACTTTTAGCAGCCGGGGGTGGGGTGGGGTTGGTAATTGTATTCTTTTCTGCCAGCACACAGTAGGAAATTATGTAAAATGAAAGCATTTCATCTCTTGCCTGATCTCTGAAGGCAGTTAGCTAAATGGTGCCTGTTCTTATGCCCCCCCCATACATCTTTCCCCTTTCTTCCCAACACAGGAATTGTAAATGGGAAATGCAGTCTCATAAGTCCATCTAGGCTTTACGAAAACAGAATGTTACTGGCCACAGGAAAGTGAGAATGATGTGCTAACTCATTAATCATAGAGTTTGCAGTGAGGAACGTTGTCTCATGACAGAATTCTGAAGGACCTTGGTGAGGTAGCTCTGATCTCCCCATGTATGGAGGAACACTTGTTTACATTTTGTTTCGTGGCTTTTTACAATAAGCTGATAGACTGCTATCTGGAAGTGACAGGTCAGAGTTATCTTGTCATCAACCTGCTCTAGGTCTGAAAGATGCAGTTCTAGCACACATCAGACAACAAACATTTCCAGCAACACGAAGGTCAAGGGACAAGGCAGAAGAGAGACCTCCTTTGCAAGTATTATGTTCATACCCAATCTCAGAGGCTTAGGGTAAGAATTCAAATGAAATCTGTTGCAGTACAAGAAAGCCGGAGCTGTAACATGAGCTGTTAGCTGTGTCCTAACTGTAGTTTCTTCTGCCCCTTCCCATGTCGCTGTCTAATACGCATAGTTTTCATCAATCCCACCAGTTTGCCATGACACTATTTTTTGCTCCTCATTTTAAAGGACATGTGGAACTTTGCATATGTATCCCATAGCATGCTCTGTCACTCTACAGAACTCAGTATTGCTAACAGGACCCCCTAATACTTAAGGTACATTAATACTTGAAATGAATCAGTGAATTGAAACAGAATCCACAAGTGCCTACCTTACCTCCATATTTAAAGACAGATACTAAGCTTTCCAAAAGTACAGAAATGCTTTTATGTTATTAAGCATTATTATTATTTTTTTTTTGGTACCTATCTTCTACATCTGCTTTTCATAGGACTTTTGCGTCTTTCAAGTACTTGATAGTCTGCCCCTTGGACCAAGTCCTGACCTCAACATAATTCCTATACTGTCTTCTTTACTACAGCACGTGAACCCCTCTTTATCTTCACTAGCCACCTTTGTGATTAGTGTACAGTTGTGGTACAGCAGCTCCCAGGGCACAAGTAATAAAACTTAATACAACAGAAGTGTATTTAACCTACTTTTCAGATGCAGGCTTGGTAACCATGATGTTACATGGAAAGGGGACAGGATGGGAAAACACAGATGGACTCTTAGGCACAAGAAAGACCACAATGGTTCTCATCCTTAATTATTTCCTTTTAGCAATCTTTTTTGAATTGTCCTCTAGTCACAGTAACTTCATTTCCTGTTTTGTTTCAACCTTACCTTTGTTAAAATGAACACTAAAGGAAGCTTGAAGTAGTAAGGTAGTAGCAGTTTACAACAATTTCATGTCACTAGCTTAGCGGCCCCCAACACAAGCAATCTTAGTTTTCAAAGGTTTTTGCTCTCTCTCAGCTTAAGAGGAATTTAGCTAAGATTTTCTTCACAGATCTCTTCATTCATTGACTAGAAATTAAACATAACAGAAGTAGCAGCTCAACCTATATGTAGCTGTTAAGTGACTGAAGCTTAAAACACAGTTCTGTTGCTGTATATGCAGGACTGTAAGAATGAATTAGACTTAGAATGTACAAAAAGTAAGAAAGATGTCACTTTTAAGCCGGAGCATCAGATCTGTGGAGTAAAGTTGTCCTGGACAGGTTCAAGCAAGAATACAGTGCATTCAGAAAAGTGTATTAAGAGCGACAAGAAGAGTTTGTTTTGCAAGCTTTACTTCCCAATAATTACACCTGATACAGACTGAACAGAGAAAACTCTTGCTGTTACCGTACTCTCAAAAAAGGCTTTTCTATTGGAACAAAAAAGTTGCTGTACAGAAAGCAGAGTCTGTGTAGTTCAGCGAGTAACATGGCCTGTCCTGTAGGCCTCAGACTTCCTTTTGAAGTCCACAATGTGTGTACGTGCATGCCTGTTAGCAGTCAGATTACACATTGAAGCAATAGTGCACTATCAAGTTTGCTATTACAAGGACAGTGGGTATGAGAGCCAACGTTCAACAACTTCTCATACAAGTATTCTACTATTTAACTGCAACAGAGCGCCTCAAATACACCATCTGTGGTTTCATCTGCATTACTGCAGAAAGACTGTCCATTAAATACAGAGTTTGCTTGTTCATCATCGTGTAATGAGTACAGTACTATAAAAAGACGTTGTCTTAAATGTGTAAGTCCGTATCCTAAAATGGCAAATTAAATAAGGATCAAATTCAGCTCAAACACTAGCTGTAGGTATTTACTTGTATTACGGCTGAAAGCTGTCACAACCTACTGTAAGTCAAGAGCTTCCTGAGTTCTCTACGTATTGCCAATCCTTAGTTTCACAGTGCAAAGATTACTGGTAAACACATTCATAGCTCAGGTTAACAGGAACAAGAAGTTTGGAACTTTAAGGCTGTATACTAAAAGTTCTCTTACAAATTTATCATAACGTGGATCCCTTCAAGTGCTATTAAAGCTGACTGAGTAAAGCATATCTTTTTCATAGCTAAAAATGGTTATACTTCAGTTACTCAGATTTTTTTTACCTTATTGATCAGAAACATGCCAGAATGCGACTTAAGGCAGAGACATGTATTAACTTAAAAAAAAAAATCATCAGCATCTTGCATTAAACTGCTGGAAAAATTAGCACAGCATTAGAATAGAAAATGAAAAGAAAATGGACATTAAATATGTAGGAAATTTATTTCCTACTTAAAAACCTATACAAATTATAGCAACATTAGGCAATTAGAGAAGACCTGAAGATAATTTGTATTAACTTACAATAAACACATTAGAGATGAAGTACCATTCACAGCAAAAGGAATGTAGTGAGACTGAAGTTTAATATCTAGCATTTTTAAGAAACTGACTTCTAGGGAAACAAAAATGGAATGCCAATTTCATAAAAATATACACATATAAAAGTATCTTTGTGTCTGAATTCCAGAATAGTTTCTCCAAAGTAGTGCTTCTAGAACTTTCAAGTTTTAATTATGTTCAAAGTATTTATCATTTGAATAAAGTTGGCAAATTACATTCTTATATTAATGTTTTTACTTGACACCTTCCTAAACAGAAAGTGTCACTAATTCAATAATGGGTCACTCATGACTGGAAATTCTTCCTTTTGCTCCCCCAAGAAAGCAGCAGAATATTACAATTTTAATATTAGAGTGAAACCCATTTGTTATTTTATCTACTACACCTTCCCCATAGAGCAAGCTAGTCAGTAATTTGGCCAAAAAAAATTTAAGTCAACAACAGGATGAACTGGGTTTCGGTTTCCGATGAAGGTTTACTGTATCTGTTTGAATAAAGTGATCTGATCTATCTTCAGAGGCTAGAACTCTTCTAACAGCTTCTTCAAAGGCTGCTGCAACATTAGTGGCATCTTTTGCACTGGTTTCAAAATAGGGATGGTTGCCATTATTCCTGCACCAGTCTTGGGCTTCTTCTGTAGACACTTGCCTTTCATCGATATCAACTTTGTTACCCAGTATCACAAACGGAAAGCTTTCAGGCTCCTTGACATCTGCATAATAAATGAATTCTTTCTTCCAGTTGCTTAAGTTTTGGAAGCTTTGAGAGTCATCCACGCTGAAGGTTAGCAGGCAACAGTCAGAACCTCTATAGAAAGGAGTCCGCAAGCTCCTAAAACGTTCCTGACCTGCTGTGTCCCATATCTGCATTGTAACAAAATGTCCATCAACTTCCAACTCCTTATTTAAGAATTCTACACCTATTGTGTGAAACAGCTGTGCCTCAAACTTGTTGGCGACATATCTGTTCATAAGGGAACTCTTCCCAACTCCACCATCTCCTAGTAGTATTACTTTAAGGAGTGATGATTTTGCTGCCATTGTTATGGGAACAGATCCTCCTGGTTTCCTAGACCTGTAAAGATTAAGAATATCATTAAAAAGGAAAGAGTTGCGAGCAGAAAGTTTTATGCACATAAATATCTAGACAGTGTTAAAGTCCACCAACATCAAGTTTCGTGTACAAAAGCAGGAGGACTGCGCTAAACAGGTGAAGTGTAGATACTCATAGTGAGAATACCCACTCAAGAATACTATTTGTTTCAGAGATGTCTCTGCCACAGACTGCAGTCTGTATGGCAGTCTAAGCAGTACACTGCACAACTTACTGGTCTGTCACTTAAAACCCCCGAACCCTCCAACGTTTGTGCAGCAGGGTTATCACATCACATTCAACAAGGGCAACGATTCATTTATGCTCACTGGAAAAGATCCACGGAAGAAAGTGGAGTGAGAGAATTGTAGAGAGCACGTGCCTTGAACTAGTCACTTCAATGCTGTATTTCATTAGCAAAGTTATTTTTTAACATGCAAAAGCAAAGACGAAGCTTTAGGAATAAAGTGGGACACTATCTGTTACACTGGAATAACTGCTGTGCTTCACCCAAAATTGCAACAGACAAGGAATTTTAAATCAACTCACAGGGAACAGACTTCTCTACAGAACAAATGCAAATGCTGTAATTTTATTTTAAAAGTCAGGTGACTAGGTATTGGTACACAAACATTCAGTATTTTAGTTTACTCTTTGCAGAACAGCCGTGATGAATGGAATACTATTACAACTACTCCAAAAGCAAATTCACTGTTGCTGCTTAAAATGGTACTCAAGATGCCAAATACTGAGGCCAAGCCTACATTGGCAGTTCAGTTAGTAGGCGTCAACTTCCCCTGGTAAAACTGTCAAAAAGCCTGGAAGTGCTAGTGAAGAGCCTGGCTGCCAGCACAGGGATGGTGAATTAGTGGTACCAATGAAGCTTTTTTTACTGTCAGATTTTACTATTAAAAGATTTTTTTTTTTAAGAAAGTAGTTAGCTCGTTAGTGTTTCGTGCCAGCCCAAGATTTACCCTCATTACCGTAGTGTCATCTATTACTGTAAAAGTGGTTTAGTTGCTTGGGGGTAAAGTTTCATTTCAAAGTGCCCAAATTTAAGTTTCCGTATGAGGAAAGCTGCTGTTCCTATACCTACCCGTTACTAAAAGAGCTCAAAGTAATTCAGCCGAAACAGGCTTCTCTGAAAATAATGTCTATTTAAAATGGAAATGGGTCATAAGTTGCCTAGTCCGACTCCTTCTCTGAAGGAAGGAATGCGGTCTTGCTAGTTGTAATTAGTGTTACTGGCATATACATCACCCACAGAGTATGGTTATGGAATTAATACCTGATACAAGCTGGCGTGAGAGTCATATGACTCTGTGCTGCCTTGGCATCAAGGCCTACATGAGAAGCAAGAAATTTCAGGAATTTTTTTGTCTTTAACTTTCCATCTTTGAATGTTTATTTGTTAGATACGATCTACAGCTGAAGCCTCAACACAAAGGCATTTCAAAATGTAACGAACAGTGGCTGCTTCCATAAAAAATTTGTTCAGAGCAAGTAACTTCATTCATTCATACTGTGTAATTAAAAGCAATGTTTATAAACGTGTAGAAATATTAAGGACTTGTATCACAATAATGTTAAAACTGCTTAAGAGCTACAAGTGGATTGTTCATTTACCTTTCACAGAGCTATGGGGCAATTGCTATTGCTCAGGATATGAACACATACCGTTTTATGTATGTGAAAAGCCTTATTAGAGTCACCAGCCTACTTGCACATGATTTCCATGTTCATGCCGAAATATTTAAAATGGTCGAGTGTCTTCACTTATCTCCCTAATTCCTACTAATGGGTAATGAATAAGTTACTTGAGCTATGCCATTAGCTAGTAGCATCTTCTTAATAACTAACACATTCATGAGAACAGGGGGTACTGAATGTTTCCCTGTTCTTCCATTTCAGTATAGGAAGAAGTTGTAATTTTTTTTTTCCTGTCCTACTGAAATCACAAGTTCCCTAGAAGACAATGTGAACAAAAACCTGACTTACCTAGTTCTGACTGGTACTATGCACTTGTTTCTTTAGCTTCTACAGTTTGAAGAACTGCAGTTATTATCGTGAAGTTCTCCATGAAGCCACATTTTAAACAAAATACAAGTAAGGAAACTCTGTTAACAGTATCTAGTACTTTTGTGCATCCAGAATCTGAGAAGTTAATTTGCATAATTTCAACTACATGGACCATTACAGTAAGCTCTAGGAGACTGATGACCATAAAAATAACTTTACTGTGCAGACAATTATAGATCAGCCACAAACCATTAAAAGTGTCTTTTCAACTAGAACCAAACTGGTCCTTCTACACAAAGACTACATAAACAGTCTTCCCAGGACTGATAAGCAAGTATCTCAACATGACATTGCAGGCAACATCAGTCTTCAGGACATTCAGCTTCCACAGCAGCAGCTGTCATGATCAGCTAGCAGTTAATGTTTTTGTAAAGTCTTTAATCCAAAATAAATGGGATATATGTTCAGTCATTTAAGTACGTACTTACAAGCTGCATCTGAAACAGCAAAGAAGCATGTTTAAAGGCATTAAGCAGCATTTTTGTTTGGAAGCAGCAAAGACTTTACACAATTACAGGTTTTTTCACTATATAAGGGACTCACCCGCCGCCCCACTGATTATGAGATTTAGAGTATCTGTAGAACCAGGATGGTAGTTTTCAGCACAGCAAGTTGCTGCATTTTTTTCTACTTGCACATCTTTATATCAGTTAAGATTTTTTAAAGAACTCAGTTTTTTTAATTGTTTGTGGGGGGTTTTTTTCCTCAGTTATGAAGCCCTAATAGTCCAGCAAATAACAATAAAATCCTTAAGATGCCTGGAGAATTATTATTTCTCATATTACATCTTTGAATTTATTTGTATAATGTGCTTTCTGACAATGTTTTTGGAAGGAACAATCAGCATCTGATATCATATTTCTGAAAATGTATTACCTTAATAATTCAGTTTAAATCATCATTCAGCATCTGAAAACAAAACAAAAACTTAATTTCCAATGTGCATCTAATTGTTTTAACCAACATCGGGAACTGCAAGACACCACAGAATTACAGATAACTATTTGTTCCAGTTATTTCTTATGTTAAACTAATTGTGCTGCTACAGTAAGGGTAGTCTCAACCTAGTACACAGAGGAGCCTGTAAAGAGAAGATTTTTCCCTCAAGTTCCTCTATCATTTCAATATTCAAAGAAACTCAGAGGAAACAGAAAGCCCCACTCTGGCCCATTTTGATAACCATCTCTGAATTGCCTCCACCAACTTAGGAGGACTCAAGCTCTTAAACCACTGACTTGAATATTCCTGTTAAAAGCAGGGAACAGTTTCTACTAAGTGCCATTTCTAACATGACCATATACCACAATACAAATAGTAATTTAATTGTTGCCTCCCAGAATTTCCCTTTTAAACAGTGAGCCGAAATGCAAGTCTGAAACGTTTCCATTAGCAGTCCAAACATTTGCTGGCAAGACTAAAAATGACATACTAAGCAAATCTAAAAAAAAAAAAAAAAAAAAACAGTGTGCATTACAAAATCTTTGATTCCCAGCCCCTCAAAGCCTAGAGAAACACCACTGCCTTGTCCAATCTGTCCACCTAGATTTTCTTAATTCCATGACCGTCAGCTTCATAGCTGCCTTTTGAGTGCAATTACCTCTTTTAACACTTAGGCAGCACTCACAGAAAAGCAAGATTCTTGGTCTAGAAAACCACAGCAGCAACCCACAAACTTAATCTAGGAATCTGTCTTTTTTTACTATAAAAATAATTTAATAGATTAAGGAGGACCTGCATATACCAGAGTACTGAAGGCTGAAGACAGGTGCTGAACTCAAGTTATGTTTATGGAAAAATACTGTTAGCCAAAGCAGTAATTACATTCTATCTATGATGTCAGCAAGCACACAAACTGTTAAGCAAACTGAGTCACCTGGACCAATTTATAGTTTCACTTTTACCATACTGATACCAGGCACAGCAGCACACCATAAAAAAAACACCAACCCAAACACCCAACAAAAAGAACCCCAACCACATAGCAACTGAAATCTCACCTCTACCCCCCCCCTTTTTTTTTTTTTTTCATAAAAGACATCAAAATCTGGATCTGTTGCAGCAGCACCACTGAATTCCCTCAGCATTTCTGAAGAAATGGATGTAAGGGACACTTCAAATGTCCAGACTATTGTTTCTCCACTTGTACCTACTTTTTAACTTGGAAACAGGCAAGAAAATTTATTTCAATCACCATTTTCAGCCAGTGGTCACTGTGAACCACCTGCTATATGAAATAAAGACTAAATCCAAAGGTTTCCTTGAAGATCTGTGGTACACTGTCCTTTAACTGAAGTTGTTAAAGAGCACCCATTTGACTTTGAGAAGGAAAAAAAACCCAAGGTAAGGCAGACTCAAGTTTGTTCCAACTAATCACATTTATTTACAGCCTACTACGATTTCAGCCAAGACTTCTTAAAAAAAGGGGCCATCTTTGTTAAAGCCTTAAGAAAAAACACTCTCAAAGTTACTGACAAGCAGAATTAGCAGTTCCATAACTAGTGTAACAGTAACACTGACCATGTTTCATAACTTCCTGTCCTCAAATTTACACGTATACAACACATATATTTCAGCTTTGAGGCTTATTCACCATTTTCTTTGCCATCTCATTTTGTTAAACCACAGGTATCACACATTAATAGTTTAAAAAGGCACACAAACACTTCAAGTATTTTGTCTGACAATAACACTGGCCTTTCAATAACATAATGTAAACTTACTCCCTGATTAGTAATTTTTTTTCCTTAACACTAACAAAGCATTTGACAATATTTACCAGGCTAGCATCGAAAAAAGTTGTTTCCTGTGGTCTGTTAGTTGCAGTGGCTCATCAAAAAATGACAAATTGCTTCTCTATAAAATGTCTGGAAAAAAGTCCCAAAAACTATCAGAGCTGCAGCAGCAGGGGCAGAATCCAGAACTATGTAGTTTTCAACACTTACTGTCTGTGGTGTTTTTACATCTCTCAGCCCTCAATCACTATAGAGTAGTTATATTAGTCACCTACAGCAGAACTGCAAGTTTCCAGAAATCTGAAAAGAAAGGACAGAAGCAAATTTTCTCCCTTTTCTCTGCTAAGTCAATCCCTGTTCTTGCATTTAGAAGGTACTGGTTTACACCTTGGCCAATTCAGTGGCACAAGAAGAGTTTTTTAGTGCCCAAGAGGCCACAAGCCTATCTGACCTTGGAATTTTTTGCTCTCAATTCAAAGGGAAACGTACAGATATGAAGTCAAGATGCTACACGCTTTGTACTTTTGAATGCATTACAAGCTTGGACATCAATCAGCCTCTAAGCTGTCCTTCCCTCCACGGGGTACCAACGTAAGAGCTGTGGATCAGCAACACCCCTTTACTGAGGGCCACTTGTGAGCTGCCTAGTTCTCTGGAAGCTCTTCAGTCATATGGCTTCACCTACTGAGATGCTAATCACCTTGCAAGTCTGCCTTCCTTTATCTGTGCTTTCACCATTGCACTGTAGTTTGTGTTTTCTGTTGGACAGATCTTTAATAATTTGATGACAGGTTATCTCAAAATTGTCTCTAGTTGTAAGCAGCCTAGACATGCTTTATCTAACACCAGAGTATCACTAGTTTGTTCATAATAATTTGTAATATAAATACAACCCAAACTGAACTGAGATACAGCTGTTGCCACTCATTTGTATACCAAAAATTTGTATTTGGGGGTTTCTTTATAACGTTATTTTTAACTCCTATGTACTTCAGGACTCTAGTTCAAACAGTTGCTTGGCATGACTCAGGACTATGAAAGAAGCAGCAGCCAAGGGGAAGAATCCTTAAGTCCACGTAACCCCTGGATCATTAAATCATCCCAGTACCTACTGCCAGAATCACCTCATTTATTCTAACTTACATCTAGGCACAAAGTCAATTGGCAAAATTTGTCAGGAGAAATACCTACATTTATACCTCTCCTAGTTTAATCTTGCAGAGACCTGGCCTTCGCTTTCCATCTCATTCCCCACATTCAAATAGGATGAGCAAACTATTATTTATTCTGATTTAATAAGAGTTGACATTTCTCAGCAGCTCACATTTGAGCATCTCCCAACTTTAATATTCTATTGCTTTCAGCCAACTTCAAAGCACCCTAAGGTGCTGCTGCTCTTGGTCCAACATTTCTAAAAATTCATGAGTTAACTGACATTCTCCTTGCAATCTACTTGTCTGTTACTGCTTCCACTCTTTCAATAACTTCTCAAGCAATTATTTCTGCTCATATGTGCTCATCTTTCTCCTTTGCATTAGTTTCCCTTTTCCTCCAGGGACTCTTCGCAATAGCAGCCTCCATTGGTCAGCCTCCATTGTGCATTCATATTCTTCCCAATATAACCATGGGACCAAAGCCCATCCCGAAGGAATTAAGTGGGTTACACTGTACCAGGCCAACATACTGTCTGCTGCTCTGTAGAAAACGAAAACAAAAACAACACACCCAGAAGAATGAATATGATTGAAAAAAAAAAAAAGAAAAAACCTTACGGAATTCTTACAAGCCTTTCTGCTGGAAAGTTTTTATTCATTGTGAAACATTTATGTAAAATTCCAATCCTAAGGAGCTAAAAGATCTGCTTCTCATGATTTATTACTGAATTGGCATAAAATAAAATACAGCTTGAAATCCAAATACCTCAATTGACCCTCTGCAATTTTTTTCATGTATTTTCAATTTAAGGAAACTGGTGGTTGGTTTGAGCACTCAAAAGCAAAACAAGGACTACTAGAGCCCCCCTCCTTTTTTTTTTCCTTTCTTCTTCTTTTTAACTACGCACTCCCTATTTTTAACTTAATGGAAAAGGCTTTACTAAAATTAAAGCAACAAACAGCTCCACACAACCTAAAGGAGACAGAGAAAAGTAACAGTTCATTATAAATTCCACATTGATACTGAAACACAGATGTAATCGTACCATCCTTTGGTTAGGCTTCTCTAGAAATAAAAGTGCCAGGAAAAAAGAGTTTTGGATTTATTTTGGGTATGTCCGAGAAATAGCTCTCCCTCCAGTGTGACATTACAGCTTGTTACCTTACAAGGTACTAAAAGATCACAAAAGATCCACAAAAACCCCAGCCACACACAATCACCCTTGCTCTAAAAGAGTAAGCACTGACAATTTCAGTGTTGTACAATACTTTGAAAGCAAAGACAAATAAAAACCACATGCTTACTTAGTAGAGCTGTAAATTATCATGGACAACAAGAGAAGGAAAACAACACGTAGGGTGGCAGACTACATGACAGCTATCTGCAGACAAGCAAGTGTTTTAATTCCAAAACAAGATTTAGCCAAGCAGTTCCCTACTTGCCTACCCCACCCAAGTTAATACAATTAATTAAGTGCTAGAAAGGCCACTAATGCAGGTTTTTAAAACTAGTTTTCTTGCACTATTCTGTTATTTGCTCCATTACTTTTCACAAGTTACATTTAACATGGAATACTTGGAAACTGCTCATTAACCACTCAGATGTAAGAGATCTGACAATCTTAACCTAATCCTTTTGGTTCTCCAGCCATCACCGCATCTAAGTTTGCATAGCCCCCTGCCACGATTAGAAAAGCAACTGGCCGTTGCAGGGGAGAGCTAAATCAAGTCACCGGTTCAAAAAAGAAGAACTAAAAACATAAAGCGCATTGCTCAGGGTCCCCTTGGGAACACAGAAGTCCTTCACCAGCAGACAGCAACAGGAAGAGGCAATAAAGGGACCATTTTCTTTTTTTTCTTTTTGGTTTGAAAGGTGCCGAGGGGACAGGTACGAAACGCAGTTTCACCCGAACAGATCAGAGATCTCTATCGGAGCAGAGGAAGCACTGTGGAGCCGGAGACTGGCCGTGCGCCGGCCGGGAATCGCCTGGCAGGAGCCGCTTCCCAAAGGAG